GACACTACATCTATCATCAGCAATAATGTATGAAACATTAAAATTTCTAATAGGGTAGAGCTCATGTTAAGTGTTCTTACCACAATAGCTTAATGTTTTTAAATTTAAAAATAATATTAAGTATTTTCTTTCCTTTCTACATTGCAAAGGATTTGAGTGTAGAATCTGTGGCTTATACACACTGGATTTCCATCATTGAGCCAAATGTATATTCAACAAGTAAGTTTTTTTTTTTAATCTGTTTTTTTTTATCTGTTCAACCAAGTCAAATGAGAGTTGAGCATAAATTTCAAAACAACTGGTAGCCAATAAATGTGATTTTATAGCTACATGATGGTACATAGTAATTAAAAACATTTTAAATATTTTATGAATAGGCAAGTCACAGGGTATGAAGCCAAATGACAAAAATACATGCAAAAATTATTTAGCTTCATGTATAATCAAAGAAACATAAACTAAAGCATTAGAGTGGCATCATTCTTATGAAAATACCAATGATGGTAAAGATAACAGAAAATGGACATATCTATATACTGATAAGATTATAAAGTGGTACAATATTTTGGGGAGTAGAGACTTGACAATATTTATCAAATAACCTTACATTTTACTTACCATTTTAATATAAAATTCCACTTTTGAGAATATATCCTAAGAAAATATTTAGATATGTGCAAGCATTCAGCTTCAAGAATATTCAGCATGGTATTTTTTACAATAGTGTCAAAGCATAACCTAAATTTTAAATTTATGTCCGTAAAGTGAATTACTGTGTATTGGAATACCATTGATATTGCATTGAAGATTTTTTTTTATTGAAATAAAGAAAGAGTTGCAGCATATTTTTGGTGAAAAGGAAATCATATTATTTTGATAAAAACAAAGTATGAAAGGTGAAAATGTAAGAAAGTTTTAATGACATTAAGCATTGGGGGAATAGGAATCTCAGAAATTCCTGGCTTTTGTCCTGGCTTTACAAAAATGCAAGGGTCAAATTCCCCATAGTAAAGAGAGAACCAGTTTATTGGCTGAGCAAGTACCTGAGATATCCATAAAGACCTCTCAGTTAAAGGGGCGCTGGGAACACTTGTGGGAACTCTGCCTCCCTAGCATAACCAAAAACCAGGGTTTCCACCTAGGAGAACAAACAGAGAAAGAGAAGAGAGACAACACTAACTTGGCTTATTGATCTCACTGCATGGAATGAGGAGAGCCAATGTAAGTAAACTACCTGGACACAGCCGTTAGATAACAGTGACCTCGCTGACAAGTCAATGCCCCCTGAATACCATAGACTTCTATCAATAATATTAGCAACTTTCCTTCCCTACAATGGCAGGAGAGTAAAGAGAGGAAGAACGGAAAGAAGTGGGATGAGAGACTCAACAATATGCTGCTGTGGAATTAAATCACCCCAATGATTAATTTAAACTCAATGGCTTAACCTCATGAAGACATCATTTTCAAGACTCCTGGGTTGACTGGGTTCTGACATACAGCTCTGCCCCATGTGCTGAGGTTGCATGTGCAACTGCATTCAGGTAGGAACTGGGCTGGTGTAGAGTTGGGTTCTCCTCCTCCTGGGTCTCACTCTCCATGTGACAGTGTAACCTGAACTTCTTCATGTATGGAGACTGTCCTTAAATAGGGGGTATTCTAAGAAAATAATCCCTAGTCTAAAATTGTACCTGGAATGTGTTTTAATCAAGTGTGGTAAGGCACCCACTCAGAAAAAGAGATAATTGTTTGAATGTAGAAATTTATACTCACAGAAGTCTAGAAACAGGAGACATGGGACCTGGAAAAGCACTAAGAACATGGGCCAGAGGTTTTAAAGGGATTTTTTTTTTTGTCTATTTGTTTGTTCTTATTTTTTGTATTTTTATTAGTTCTTTTAGTTATACATGACATTAGGATTCATTTTGATGTAATTATAAAAGCATGGAATATAATTTTAAAGGGGTTTTCCTGGAAAAGAATGGGGAAAGCAAAGTAAGTATACTGAGAAATTTTAGGATTGCAGAGTTTGAAGTTTCAAAGGGGTAATCCCTAGTTGTCTGGTACCTGGCCCCAGGGTGATCTCAGGCAGAAGGAATATTGACCAGGTATGTGAGTGTTAGATAAAAGAGATGATTAGGTGGGTGTAGGCTCTGGATTAGTCAACTTGTATAATGAAGACATGATTCACTGGGGAGTCATTTGCTATCACTAAGAATGAGCCAGTCCTGGGAGGGGCAATTTTTTCTAGGATCAAGGCCCCAGATGCCAGAACATCAAGAACATAACAATTAAGATAATCAGGTCAACATAAGGCCTGATGTGCAAGCTCTTGCCAAGCCTCTGCTAGCAAGATGATGCTTGCTAGAATCCCATTGATAAAAGCAAATCACATGATCAAAGAAAGAAACAAAAGGGGAGGTGACTACACAAGGACAGGAATGTGGGAGATACAGTCTCTGAAGGGCTATCAGTGTTGCAGTTACCACATAAATATTTCTGAATGAAAAGATACTTGCTAAGGCAACAATGATCACTTCTGGAGCTAGAGGTATTTATTTTGAGCTTTTATCATACTTGGATTTTCTTTCTCATTTTCAATCATGCATATGCATTATATTAAGAACAAAGCCAACCCCAACAAAATAAATAGTAGATCAGGTTCCCAAGAAGCAGAAAACCTAAGATGAGAATTTTTATGCAAATGTTTTAGTGCCCCAGGAGAAAACCAACCAGGAGGGAGGGAGAGGAGCAGGATAGGGCAGGCAAAGAAGCTGATCGAGCTGTGATCTCAGCCAAAGAAGCTGAGCGAGCTGTGATCTCAGCCAAAGCCTAGCCTCAGCCTGAGTCCACAAGGAGCTCTGGAGGATGAACAGCACTGTGGGGTTTTCTCCACTAGGCTGGGGTCAGGATTTTGTGCACCATTCAGTCAGTGGTGAGCCCAGGTACCTGCCAAGGGGGAGGACATAAACACTCAGGCATCCTCTGGAAATGCAGTTGTCATAGTAGAAGGCAAGTCTCTGGGGAAGCAGGCAGCTTTTAGCTCTTAGTCTGTTCAGGTTGATATAACAAAATACCAGAGACTAGGTAATTTATAAACAACAGAAATGCATTGTGCTAAGAGTCTAAGATCAAGGCACCAGAAATTTGGGTATCTGGTGAAGGCCTATTTCCTCTTTGATGGTATTGTCTTTCCATGAAAAAGGGGGCAAACAAGCTCAATTTCCTTCAGGCCTCCTTCTTAAGGGCACCCATCCCATTTACGAGGATGGAGACCTCGTGACCTAATTATCTCCCAGAAACACCATCTCTTAATATCACCACATGGGGGATTAGGCTCAACATGTAGATTTTAGGACATAAATATTCAGACCACAGCAATCCTCTATCAGACAACACCTAAAGCAGCTGAGGTTAGATGCATGTACTTTATGGGACCAATGCTGTCTACAATAGCGACTCTAGCTTGCACAGAGGACCATCTCTGCAATGTCCCACATGAGTACCTCTTACATTCACTATATAGTCCAAATATGCCCTCTACACAGAAAATAGGCATCAAGTTATATAGGTTGGATGAATGAATGTTAACTATGTGAACTCATAACTTCTGCAGCTCTTTTGTGAATATCCCATGAACCCTTAAAAAATTACTTTGGGAATGTAACTCTAAGGAGTATGTCAGGATATAAGGGATAAAACATCAGTCTTTTCAAATAGCTTTGTAACTGTGATGATAAGGCATATTTTGCTAAACTTTCCAAAAAGGAAAAAAAAAATTCCTCCTCTGGGCTAAAATCATGCATGCAAAATTTCAAAGGGGAAGGCTCATTTTTTTCTAAAGGTTGCAGGCCTAAATTATAAACCCGAGTCAATACGTTAGACGTCTAAAAGTTCTAAAAATAGGGGCGGATAATAAGAGTGCTTTCTCAACCAAAACCACAACCTTCCCTCTGCTGTACTCAGAGAAAGTAGCAGAAACTAATCTTTCTCCTCAAGTGGAAAAATGGGTAATAGAAATCTACCAGATGCCTTGGATTCTGTGCACTGACAATGTACTTCCATCAATCTCATTTATTTTTGTCTGAAGTCTTATTTTCAGGCCATTACATTCAAATATGGAATCAGGCCATATTTACCAAGATGCTCTTGGAAAAAAAAATGAACATAAAAAGGAAATGCCTTTTATGAGGAGACACACTTATTTTCTGGTTTTTTACCATCCATGATGACAATGTGGCACCCAGGGAGCTGAGATAATGGCTCATTGAATTTTACGTAAACTATTTGATAGAAGTTCTTGGAAACATGGAGAAGTCTGGAGGTCTCTCTTAGGTGAACTGTGAACTAGACAGAAAAGAACTTCATTGAAAGAGCAACAGCTTTACCAAATGGGGGGAGAGAGAGAGAGAGAGAGAGAGAGAGTAAGGAATGATAAGAAATGATAAGACCAACCTTCCATGGTCCTAGTGAGATAGGATGGGAGTTCAAAGTTTTACCCACCAAGATTCCTCCCATACCCCACTGTCTTCAAGAATGAAGCCATACGACTAGGTCACTCTGTGATTTAAATAACTGAGGTCAGAAAGAAGGAAAAGGGGCCCACAGCTCTATGACTAACTACAGAGAATCAAAACTGCAATTAAGAAGTGCAATGATTTTTCTAAATCATTGCTTAACCATTAACTAAGCACAATTTTATCCCTTTTCAATTCAGGTAAATTTTACACATTTTTAGGATTTTTTTTTCCATAGAAATAAATCTGAAGAACAAAATACATATCAATATTTTAACAGATTATGTTTCTTGTTTAGGATTTGGGCAATTCAGCATTTTTTCCCATGGAAGATTTGTGTGGAGGCATCTATCTAGAAAACTTGCTTTTGTTCCTGAACTTGAGTTTCAATGCTCTCAATGTCTCCTCCCCGCATCCTTTCCCTCTCTCTTTCCATCTTGCAGAGTTTTCTCTCCCTTCCATAGAGTCTGACAGATCAGTCCCCTCCCCTTCTCACAGGATCTCACGGCAGGCCCTCTGGTCTTGTGATTCTCAGGGGACATCTGGTGACATCTCTGAAGACTCTACAGGACAGCAGCAATCCTTTGAAGATGCCAGCTGCCTTTCCTCTCCTTGGAAAGTTGAAGAAGGCAGCACCACATGTCCAGGCTTCCTGCCCTAAGAAGCTACCTTTAGGAGAGGAGCTAGTTCAGCAGGGGTCTTCCGATATTGGCCCAAAAGCTGATGCCCGCAGGCAGGAGATGAGGAAAAATATGCATTCCTTCCTGTGGGTTCCTCCTGGGTGTCGCCCATCTCTGAGCTGGCAGGGTTCAGAGCTGCTGCCAGTGGACAAAAGGAAGGGTAACCTAGATTTCATTCCAAAACCAGAAGTTTTCAGCTAGTTCTAGTTAATCTCACTTAGAATCAGAGAGTAGGTAAAATCACACCCAATTGTCATATTTGGCTGCTTTGACCTACAAAAGCAGTCAAAGTTAATTTCATATGGTTCAACCACATCAGTGCAGTCTGATGTCTCTTTGTGTGACAAAACAATCATGAAAGAAAAAGAAAACATTGGGGGG